CATTGCTTTAAAGTCGAAAAGCACACATTCTAATGCTTTGATAAAAGGACACTCAATATTTCTCATATTACTTCTAACGTACTTATCCTATTCCAAAAGAAATATAATTTTCGTGGATTCAAAGACACGAACCAACATGTTATGCACGCTCGACTCAACATATTTTGTTATGGTTTTGAAGGAGAATTCTTTTTGACGTTGTTTCTTGAACCACACATGTGACGATAAACGAAAGATACAGTCACAGTGCTCTCAAAAACAAATACTTAAAGGAAGTATTACAATCCGTTGTTTTCTATTGTATTTTCGTTATTCCAGTCGGCGAACTAGAATAGAACACGATGTTGTGAATGCATTTTGAAAAAGTTTTTGCAACTATTAATTAATGCTCAGTTTTTCAAGGTCACAACTTGTATCCCCAGTCTTTCTTGCAGATGGGTGTGGGCGGTGTGTAGTATCTGACTAGTGCCCGACGATACCGTCATGACTCACGGTAATCAAGGTGACGGTCACGGCTGTGAGTCGTGGCTAAAATTTTTTAAAAGTCCGTGACCGTGACTGGCAGTTGATCATGGATAGTCACAGATACTAAAACAGTGACATGCTCACTTTTAATGTTAAAGATGTGGATGTGGGTGTGTGGGTATGGGTGTGGGTGGGTGTGGGTGTGGGTATGGATTTAGGTGTGTGTGGAGTCTTAACTTCTCTGATGGCCCTCCAGACCCTGAGTCTTCTAATATGTCCAAGCGTTTAAAAATTCCAGAGGAGTCTTTTATTGTGTTCCATTTTTTATAATAGATTTTGATTAGAAAGGTTTTTTAGGAAACCAAAGAAGTTTGCTGGTTTCGGAAGATATTTTCGGAGTTTTAAAAGTCCAGAAAAAAGTTGACCTCAGTTTTTTATGTTTTTCCATTCAAAATCCTGAAAACGAGACGTATTTTAATGTAAATAGACTGATTAAAGTTCCAATTTTTTCGATAAAAAATAAATAAATTAAGGTGGTTTTCTATTGCGTCCAGCAGATTTTTCCTCCAAGATGGTCGTCTATTATTAGGAGGTTTAAGAGTGTGAGTATGGGCAAGGCTGTGGGTGTTTACAGTCAACAATAAAGATCATCGACACCGAGGCCGTCAATGAACGGTTGATAAGAACTATTGCTAAATAATTTAATGGCACCAAATGAGCCATACAATCACGAATAACACGAGTATACCACAATGAAAGGTAAAGAGAGGCAGACTATTGGTCTCAAGAATGTGCGTGAGTGTAGGCGATTTTTAGTGTTGTATTCATGAACAACACCCACATCCCATCCACACCCATGCCCATGCCACATTCTACAGCACAGAGTCATCATCAAACACACACACCCATACCTACGCCCTATTAAACCTTAAAATCAGAAAATGAAAATGAGCTTCGTACTCAAGGAATGACAATCAATTGCAAACCGCATGGCAAACAACTGCATGTTTTGCATCCATAAACATTGGGACGACTACCGCACATACATGGAACAAAACAAAGTAATGGTGCACATCGTGTAGGCGGCGATGCTCATACACTACTTTATATATCAGAGACAGCACAAAGTTGTGGTTGAACAGGTGCAACAGGATTACTCAAAACTATTCGAGCTTTATACAACAGAACACAGGCAAAGACAGCAATGATTTGGGCACCCATTACTGTAAATTTTGAGGCCATTTCTTTATTTTTAAGCTGAAAGAGGTGAGATTTTCTTTTTATTCACACTTTTTAAAGACTGCAGTTCCAAAGAAGGGTGTGGATGTGGATGGTGTGGGTGTGGAGTGTGGGGTGTGGATGTGAGATTGGGCGTAGGGTGTGGGCGAAGAGATGGCCAACACCCATACCCACACCCAATGCACGAAATCCTGAATCACTTACGAAGAATAATTGTGCTGGATGAGCGAGAAGGCAGTTAGACTGTGAACCTGAATCATAATTGGGGCACCTCGCATGACAATATCTGCATTCACCATCGTTGTAGCAGCATCTACCTTATTTGCATAAGGACAGAGGGTGTGAGTTTTGATATCGAGTGAGATAGTATCCATACTCACGCCACACCCACACCCACAATCAATTTTCGTTTCTCTTCCTTCTCTTCTCACTGTTTCCAAAAAAGTCGAAATTGATCGTCTCTTATTTCAAATATATCTAAATATGCATATTATATAGAAAGATTCTATTGATTAGAACATTTCCAAGGAACAAACTATATTTTATATAAATTCAGCATGATTTTCTACTATCTTAATCTCACATTGACATAATCAAACAAAGAACAATCAATTTGGACTTAGTTTTCATTATGCGAGAGATACAATGCAAAAACCAATTACTTAAGGATAAACAATGATGTACTGTATCGAAACTATACAGATATTAAGTACAAAAACGATTTTTCATATAACAAATATAAAGAGAGGAGATTTATATTGTGGCTAAGCTGCAGCTATTCGTACTTCATGTTGTTGCTGTTCAACATCTTCATCATCTATTTGCCGACAAAAAACATCATTGCTAGGAATAGACAATAAATGTGAATATCATCTTATCGTAAAAAAAACTATACTAACATCTAAATCCTAAAGAAAGCCGATATCATTTCTATTCCATTGTTTGCCGATTTCTTTGAGTTCTCTTTTTCGGAATTATGGTTCATTCTATAATCTAAATAAGACAATTAAATTTTGAGAAGAATATGCATGGAACAAATCAACTTACACTGATGTAAATATTCGATTTGTAAATTGGTTAGGCTTTCTTCCATTTTTTTCAAGTTCTGAAAAGCCCAAAATCTATTCATGTCTATTGCCAAAAAGAAAAATCTAAAGGAATACAATTGTTATTTCTTGATGCAGTTAAGATTTAGCAAGCATGACTATGATGACTTGTCTGACGTACAAAATACGATTTTGTTCTTAATTCAAATAGAACTTTAAAAAGTATTTGTCAAGTTTAATATGATTTCTGTTAGTCTCCACGAATTCAATATTGAAACTATCGAACGTTCATAATGATCTGTGATAGTGAAATGAAGAAATCTAAATCATGTTTAGAATGGTCTTTCCTTCTACAATAGGTCTCAATCAAACAATTCCATTCTGTTGAGACAAAAACCAACTTGGTTCCGTATGAATATGATCAAAAACACGATTCATTTTCTGGTATCTGCTCTATATTCTAATTATACATAATTACTATTTAAATTAAATGAAGAGAATAGCAGTTAAAGATTTTTTTTATTTTACAAAGAACTTATTGTAGCACATCTAACTAAAAACCTTTCACTTCATGGAACATAAATCATTGCAAGAATAATCGAGAATAATTGTATAAATGAAAATATCATCAGCTAATGGTATATATCTTCAGACTGATGATTCTTATATGAATTATATACGTCGAACAAAAAATATTAAAAGTCATAAATAGTCAAAAAGCAAAAGTGTCGAGCTTTGTTTCATTAATAGGTGTACCGGACGAGCATGATCTTTGATACATCAATATGTTAATGGGAATAAAATGATGTTGTCGTTGGGAAAAAGAAAAGAAAGAAAAGAGCAAACGGCAATAGATACATCAAAACCTTCGACAGCGGACACCTCTCTACAGTTTTATGGTGGACACTTTCGAAAAGTTCGCAAAGTAACCAGTATAAAAAGGTTTTGGCGTAGTTGAAAATAGAAGTTTTCGATTTTTTCTTTCATTTAATAATTCATTCAACGACGTTTTTCTTTTGATATAAAAAATATATATTCGAAGTATTCATTTATCTGAGAAAAACTAAATCATCCTCAAAATCACTACGAATTTTATTCGAATCAAAACAGATCATCAATCACAATACGTATTTATTAAAACTTGGAGAAAATATTTTTCTTCGTCTTTTTTTTGGATAGATCTATTTAAGGAACTATATTGTTTATTTGTTCGATCCATATCCAAATAACGACAATGTGTCATATTATGTATTTCTAACTCATTACAAGCTATCAAATTTTCTTTTGGTTTCATTATCTTTTGAAGTTCTTGTGCTAGCTGAAAAAATTATAAATAACTCATTACACTAATAAAATCATATATTCTTACTTGTTCATTTTTTCCATGACCCATGAAATATTTTCACTAATCAGTTTAAAAGCATCATTATTTGTCCAATTTTCTTGTGACAATAAATATTCGATTAAGTTTGGATATTTTGGTACATCTACGAGATCTTAAGGTGTTGTGAGATATTAATATATAGGGTGTCCAGAAAGTAACTCCACAAAGAATAGCTTACATATATATCTCCACCATATTTTGACCAAACGGGCTGATATTTTTACCACTGGTAGAGGAGTGTGCATAGTTCATATTCATAAAGGACACGTTGTCAAAAATTGTTTAGAAATAGTACAACTAACTTCAACAAAAAACTGAGATCTTTCGTGAGTTATAAGAAAAATGATACTGCAGTTTTCTCAATAGATGGAACTTGCAGGATACATTTAGTAACGAGACATGTATCTGTCAGTTAACTATGAAAGCAAATGATGCTAGTGCAAGGTAGTCAAAAAAAATAGATGTCATTTATTCTTAGCTAAGAAAATAAATATATTCTTTTTTTCATAACTCGAACTATGTTACAGTTTTTTGTTGAAGTTAGTTGTGCCACTTCTAAACAATTTTTGACAACGTTTCCTTTATAAATAAGAACTATGCACACTTCTCTATCAGTGATAAAAATATCAGCTCGTTTGGTCAAAATATGGTGGAGATATGTGTGTAAGCTATTCTTTGTGGAGTTACTTTCTGGACACCCTATATATGTATAAAGATACTAAAATCAAAATTAGTTCATACATACATAACAATACTGTCATAATCGCTACCAATGCCCACACAGTTAATACCAGGAATATTTCTAATATGGTTAATATGTGCTGAATGAATGGTAGATTATAAAAGCGAAAAAAAAAGCATTGTACCGGCAACATTGGCAACTGTTACAAGTAATGAATAAGCAGATAAATAACTAAGTATAATTGGTGATTGAGTTACATCAAGTGCATATATCATTGTTTGTTTTGAAATATGTGATAGATCAACTAACCAAGGGGGAAAAAGCGGATTCTCGGATCCTCGGATCCTTTGGATCCTCTGGATCCTTTTGGATCCTTTTGGATCCTCTTGGATTCTTTGAGATCCTTTTGGATCCTAGGATCTCAAAGGATCCAAGAGGATCCAAAAGGATCCAAAAGGATCCAGAGGATCCAAGGATCCGAGGATCCGCTTTTTCCCCCTTGCAACTAACATCTCAAGTCGACTCATTTCTCTTATAATTTTTTTTGCCAAACTCTGTTTAACTATTGTTTTTTTTTACAAATATTGAATTTATTTGATCGACTTCGCTGTAAGTAGCCCTTCATTAAAAAAAGAGTGAAACTTATACTCCTTAATCAATTAAAAAAAATTAAAGATATCTTGTTTTTTTTAACCATGAAGTATTACAATCATGTATTCGTGTCATATACAGCACAACCATTTGATAGATAAATCTCACGATAGAAAATGAACTTTCAGTTGCTTGTCCACCTTCACTATCAAATAAACTAGCTATACGTTTAGCATTAAATGCTTGTCGTCATAAAACTTAGTGTTGTGAAGGTGAGTGTGGATGTGAATGCGGGTGCGAGTGCGAGTGTGGGTAGGTGTGGGTATCATGTTATCTTCACTTACACCTACACCTCATCCATATCGACACATACCTACAGCCGCAGCCACATCCGACTAAGAGCGCAAGCGGTGTACAACATTCAAGAAGACAAAAATTCTGTGCTCACTTTTATCCAGACGAAACGTCATCTTGCACTAGCAAGTGTTTTATTACAGTGCAAGAACGTCAGATGCTAGTTCGATAGATAAATGGATGTTATCACAGAAAGCAAATGATTCTGCTTGAGTTGCATTCTTATTTTGAACTTGATTGAAATCGAGTTCGATGGATGCTTGGGTCGCTCTGGTGTCCAAGGGCTTGTTAGTGATGCGGAAAATGTATTCTGGATAGATTCCTGCAGATAATAAGAAGACATCAAGTCATAGTATCAGAATGAAGAACCTATTCATTTACTGAATCTAGTGGAATATAGTGTATGATTGTTGTTGTCTAGTTCTCTGAGTATAACGTCGATCCAAACATATGATTTCGACAGAGCGCTGCAAAATACAGTGAGGTGCCAAGAATAGAGTAATTTAGACGAAGAAGAACGATATTTTTCTGGAATATTAACAAATTGAAGGAGTGATGCTTGTTCGTATTCATCTCGAGCGACGAAAGAACATCGCCCAACGTTCCAAACGAATTGGCCTATTAGATTTATATCTTCTTTGCTGGTTGTTAATGATGGTGCATAAAAAATCCATTCAGCAGCTGCTGTTTCTGCTACTGATGAATTAAGTGACATGACACCTATACTATTAGCAGGAATGGAGGTCCATCCTCCTGGTTGATCTTCAATTGAAGCAACATTTGACGATAAACATTTTTCGATTTCAGCGTTTCCATTAATCAGAAGGTTTGGATTTCGAGCCACTGTACCATTCGGTAAGATAGTAAAAAAGATTGATGACGCACCTGTTATTTGTTCATCATCAAGAATCGCTCCTCTCAGGTCAGCATCAGAATAATCAATATTGTAGCCGGTCAATCCCGAAAAGTCGACGTACCGAAGTGTGGCACTTTTAAATATGACATTTTTCAAATGGGTATATCGAAAACTGGCTCCTGTTAAATCACACTCAGTAAAATTGGCATTTTCTACGATTAAATTATTGAACGAGGCGTTTCGTAGTGATGTTCCTCCTAACGATATATTACGCAAGGTCGACCGCCGTTTGGTATGAAACATAGGCACGCTCAGATCAATGCCGTTTAATTCGGCATCAGTTAATGTTATGGGGTTTTGCCCGACCATGATCGCTCCGGACTCATAAAGAAATCGAATGAGATGAGTTTTGTGTTCGATATCAAGTTGACGACAAGCAGTGAGAGTTTTAGATCGAAAGACAGACAAGAATAAAGGATTAATGTGAGTAAATGAAAAGTTAGATGATGAAAATAGCTCAGACATTTCCTTTATATATGTTGCTAACACGGCATCCGAACGTGCCCTGTTAGCAATTAATAAGTCTTGCTCACGGATGCGATTCGCAATAATCAAATCTTGTTGACGACGCTGTCCAGCTGTGTAAAGTTCAACAATGGCTATGGCTCCTGTTAGAAGACCGATCATCAGGGGAATCAGAAAAGATGAACAATTTTTTATGAAATCATGAGAAGGACTCTTGCAATGCCAACATAAATTAGTTCTCTTTGGCATCTTTTCAATATTGATTGTAGTTAACACTGGTGTAATGCTGCAGAATGATATAAGTTCGAATTTGCTGCTTCATTCGTGAAATTCTTACCTGTGTAAAAAGATAAAATGTTAACTATTGTTTGTCAGATTACCATTGATAGTTTTGCTACGATCTCTGCAATAGCTGCATTCTGTCACTGTCATACAACAAGTTAGTGACGTTTTTTATTATTTATTTCCTATGTCAATATTGTTCCGATAGTCAGACATTTACAATATCATGTCACTATATTTGCACATGCACTCAATCCAAACACTGAGGGTGTCATGAAACCTTCACATGTATATCTATAGCTAGTTCAAGATGAGGACATGGGTGTGGAGGGTGAGTGCGGGTGTGGATGTTGGTGTGTGTAGGTGTGGGTGGTGTGTGGGTGTGTGGATGTGAATACAGATTTCAATCACGCTCATAGCTACAGTCACTGCCACAGCGGGTGTGGCTGTGGATGGGTGTGCGTGGGTGGGTGTGGGTGTGGGGTGGGGATGGGTGGGGTGTGGGTGGGTGTGAGTGGGTGTGGGTGTCGGCGTCGGTGTGTGGGTGTGGGTGTGGGGTGGGGATGCGTGAGGTATGGGTAGGTGTGGGTGGGTGTGGGTGTCGGCGTCGGTGTGTGGGTGTGGGTGTGGGTGTACGTGTGTGAATGTGAGTGTGGGAGAAGGAAAGATCCACACCTACACTCACCCAAATCCACACCCACCCACATCCACACCCACCCACATCCACGCCCACCCACATCCACACTCACACCCCACACCCACCCTATGTAGATGAATTATGATGATCATTTATTAATTATATAATTTAAACAGTGTCTCGCGGACAAAAAAAACGGCCTTTTTCCATTTCACTTTTGCAGCGCTTTACACTTTGTTTTAAAAAAACAAAATATACCACAAGATGCAGCGTGAAAAGAACTACGACCTACAAAGTAAAGCTTATTTTATTTGTGTGCTTTTTGCTTTCGAAAAAAAGCCAAATCCTGTGCGCCCAATTTTCGACGCTGCGAAAATATCATTTTTTTATGCCAAGGAGAAATTCGTTTTTCTTTATTTCATCGTTTTATCACCTACTGTGCTTTTCTGAAAAAAAACAAAATATACCAGAAGATGCAGCGTGAAAAGCTCTATAATTTACATAGAACAATTTATTCAAATACGAAGAAAAGAATTTCTCGTTCGTGTAGAAAAATGATTTTTTTCGCAGCGTCAGACATTGGTCTCACAGAATTTTGCTGTTTTTGAAAAATGAAAAGTACATAATTTAAATAAGTTTTACTTTGTAGATTGTAGAATTTTTCACGCTGCATCTTCTGATATATTTTGTTTTTTTTTCACACAAACATACTAGTTGATAAAAAGATGAAATAAGAAAAAAGGAATTTCTCGTCGCATAGGAAAAAAAGATTTTTTCGCAGCGTCGAAAATTGATAGCACAGGATTTTGCTTTTTTTGAAAGCAAAAAGTGCACAATTAAATTAAGCTTCACTTTGTAAATTGTAGAGTTTTTCACGCTGTATCTTCTGGTATATTTTGTCCTTTTTCAGGAAAGCACATTAGGTGATAAAAAGATGAGATAAGATGAGGTAAGATAAGATAAGAAAAAATGATATTTTTGCAGCGTCGAAAATTGGGCGCACAAGATTTTGCTTTTTTTCGAAAACAAAAAGCACACAAATAAAATAAGCTTTACTTTGTAGGTTGTAGTTCTTTTCACGTTGCATCTTGTGGTATATTTTGTTTTTTTAAAACAAAGTGTAAAGCAATGCAAAAGTGAAATGGAAAAAGGCCGTTTTTTTTTATCCGCGAGAGAGTCTCATTCAAAGATTCGATTAAAAGCCATTTATAAAGACCCGTGTGCGTAACTTCATCTGTTATTTATAAAAAAAAAGCAGAAGCCTATATTTTCGTTTTTAATATTTTCCACATAGTCAACTTCTCACCTCTTTTAGACATGTTGGAGAAATTTTCTATCTATAAAATTTTTAATCGGGTATCAATGAATTAAGCACATGCAACCGGTACACATCAACTGCGCTATATGTGTTTCACATTAACATGTCCACTAGTTTAATGAAAAAAGCGTTTTCCAAATGGATTCGAACGAAGTCTTATATTAATTACAGTCGACGTCAAAAGTATTTCTCCATTTTTTTTGTTTTGGGTCATGTATTAAAACTACACAACATTAATTTAATTTCATTATATGTCTATATAATAGAGGTCAAGTACTATATATATACACCTGTTTAATATGAAAAACCCTTAAAAATAAAATACAATAAAAAAATCAAACTTACGTGCTGAGAAAAAAGATGAGATAAAAATGCGCAAAATGATAATAAAAATGTTTGGCAGACTTTTTTGTTTTGCAATAGGCATATGTTTATAGAATTTTCACAGCTTTTATAGAGCTTTCGATGGCACATCGTTTGAAAAAAAAATCAAGGTGGTATCATTTCCTTTAACTGAGATACATGTAAAATATAAAAGTCTTCCGAACATTTTTATTACGTTAACCCTTTGGGGATGGGAAGCATATATATGTGCTTTATATTGTACAATAACCCCGTCCCCAAAGGGTTAAATACGATTGGAAGATAGCACTATCATGTATGTTTTTTTCATTTCGAGTATGGAAGAAACCATCAGAACAAGTCAATAGGA